TACGGTGTTCCCCCGGCGGGGCCCTATGGAGGAGCCGCTCCTGGAGGTGAGTGAGGGCTGCGGGACTCGGAGGGGCCCCTCCTGCGGGGCCTCCCTGGCCACCTCCCTGGCAGCCCTGGGGACAGAGAGGGGCAGAGCGTAGAGGCTGAGGAGCAGTGTCGGGCACCCTAGGCTGGTCCCTGCCTGGGACAGGAACCAGTCCCGGCCCGTCGCTGTCCCGGGCTGATTTCAGTGGGGTCGCTCCTCTCCCACTGCTCCACGCTACCCTCCACCAGGTTCAAGCCCCCTATCCTGGCCCCAATGCAGCGGTCCCAAAACTCCCGAATCCTAGCAACGCTTCAGCACATCTCCTCTGTGTTTCCATTTCCCTACCGGTGAATGAACAGTTATGGGGGGATGATCCGGTTTTTAAGGCTCTGCAGGTGAAAAGGTTTCTCTAGATGTTGCTGGTTGTTGAGTGTGTTGGGAGGTGTTTCAGCAAAACGTGTTGCTCAGCCGGATTGAAGCTGTGGTATTTAGATAAATTATTTGTCTCAATTAAATTGAAAGGTTTCAGTTTGTTATTTTAAAATTCTGATGGGGAAGAAAATGCTGAAGAGGCTATAACCATGAGCACCAGAAATAAAACTTTACAGCCACACATCCGTCTGCCAGCGTCACGAGCATTTGTTGTGCTGGAATGGCATGGTTCCCGATGGCTTGTTCTCCGCTCCGGAGCTACGCGAGAAGTTTAATTTACTTCCCTTTCTCTGTCGCAAGACATCACACTCCAAGTCCCAGATGTCTTTTCCCAGGATTGATCATACAGCTGTAAAAGCCATGTAGAGTAGAAGTGCTGACCAGTCCCTGGGTGCTGGCTGCATCTCCATGAGCTGTCCCTGGGGAAGGACCTGTATTCAGCCTCTCTGATGGAAGGTGTGAGCTGTTGGTGGCATTTCTCTGCGCAGGTGGTGCCCCACCTGGCGTGGACCAGGAGGCCTTTTCTTGGTTCCAGGCAGTGGACAGCGATCGCAGCGGTTACATCTCCATGAAGGAGCTGAAGGAGGCGCTGGTCAACTCCAACTGGTCTGCGTTTAACAACGATACCTGCATGCTGATGCTAAGTGAGTCCAGACTCTCTCTGCCCTCCAGCAGGTTCCCTGCTCCGGTGGCAGGACAGGAACCATGCATGTTGTCAGGGGTGGGGTTTTCATGCTGCTTTAATGCTGATGCGGCCCTTTTTTTCTGATTTGCATCAGGTCTGCATCCATAAGGGGAAGTCCAGGTCCAGCCTGTGGTTCCCCTCTGGTTCGAGCATCACTTACAGCTGGCCTGTAAGCGCTCTCTGGAGCAAACAGTGCAGGTCTGAGCGCCCTTTTGGCGGAGGACAGAGGAGTCAGAGGCCCAAAGCTCTCTGCTCAGGAAGGGAAACCTACCTGTCTGGTCTCGTGTTGCTGCTGTGCCGTAGTTTAGCGAATACGCGCTCAGTTCTGCATGAGTCTGAGCGAGCCCAGCATCCTGGAGCCACGTGCTCCTCCCACAGAGCCAGGGAGCAAAGGGAGGGAGAGCTCCAGGCGCTGGCACTGAGCCAGAGCTGCAGCATTTCTGTGCTTGCCCCAGCATCGCAAAAGCAAAGGTTTCGTTGCTGCTTCCTGCCAGCCTCTTAGGGACCTGAATGGTCCTGTTTGATCGCTGTCCTGGCAAGGGAGGGCTTTCAGGGCTGGAGCTGGGGTGCTAGGACCGGAGGAGTACCTTCCTCCCAGGCAGTGAGGCTTGGAGCACTCCAGGGGTTTCTGTAGCGCATCCTTGCTCTGCTCCTCACTGCCCGGCTTGTGCTGTTCACTCGTTCCTCCCCAGACATGTTCGATAAGACTGGCTCAGGTCGCATAGATGTGTACGGCTTCTCAGCCTTGTTGCGCTTCATCCAGCAGTGGAGGAGCCTCTTCCAGCAGTACGACAGGGACCAGTCGGGCTCCATCAACTTCAGCGAGCTTCAGCAAGGTGGGCAAAGGGCAAGTGGGTTGCAGGGGTAGCGTCACCACACTGGCCCTCCCTGGGGGATGCTGTCTGACTCCAGCTGGTGTTTGTTTCTGGCCTGGCCCAGTGAATAATCCTCCTGGCACTGCCACACAGCAGGAGGGGCATTTCTGAGATGACAGAGTGCATCCTTCCTGCACAGCCGCAGCCCAGCAGCTGCAGTCCATGCCTGTTGCTGATCAGTGCTGGGAGCGTCCTGGGCTGGTTACACCAGTCCTGGCAGAGCTGGTGGCTGAGCCTTCCCACAGGCAAAGAGTCGAAGAGCCACAGCAGGGCTGGAACATGAACTTCCTCCCTTAAGGAAACCCCTTCTCCCATGTCCTCCCCAACACAGCATGTGGTTAAACCCTGTTTTCTGGGGGGAGATGTTGGGTGGGTGTCTGATGAAGGGGGAAAATGTCTGGAATTCGTGCCTTGATTCGGTTCCTCCCTCCCGAGAGCCCTGTCTGCGCACACCCGCTGTCTGAAGGCTCCTCAACCAACCGGGGCAGACAGGGTGTGTGACAGCGCCTGGGAGGGAGGGCACAGTCGCTCTCCCTGGGAGTGGCTTGTCTCAGGGCTTTAGTCCGTGTGTTTCCTCTTCCCAGCTCTCTCGCAGATGGGCTATAACCTGAGCCCCCAGTTTAGCCAGCTGCTGGTGTCCCGCTATGCCCAGAGATCGTCCAGCCCCAGCATCCAGCTCGACCGCTTCATTCATATCTGCATTCAGCTGCAGACCATGACAGACGCCTTCCGGGAGAAGGACACAGGGCTGGTGGGCAACGTACGGCTGGGCTACGAAGACTTCCTCACGATGGTAGTGACACGGATGTTGTGACGCCCTTGGCCGAGGCCAGCGTGGCTGCGAGCTGGCCGGGAGCTCTGCCCAGCTCTCCTGGCGGAGCAGGGATCCCTTGGCCGGTCTGGCTGGGGTGCGTCTCGTGCTCCACCTGGAAGAATGAATTTTTCCCCCCCGCCCCGGGCTGGGTTACCGGCCTGAGGACTCCCATGCTGTGGGCGTCAGAGAGCCATGAACCCCTGTTGGGACTCAGCCATCTACGGCTTTGGTTTCTTGTCCCCACTTGAAGGCAGTGGGTGCCTCCTTGCCAAACTGGAGCCTGGTTCTGCCACCCTGGGGGATGAGACAGGAGTGAGCCCGTGCCATGACCCCCAGGGAACGCTTAGATCTTTCTTTGCCAGACACAAGTTGTTTCAGCCTCAGCTGTGCTGTCCCTCTGCCTGGCTTGCCTTGCCTTGCCTTGCAGACTTTCCTTCCTCAGCCTCGTGCACTTTTAACAGCGCAGTGGTCCAAGCTTCCCGCTCTCGCTTGGAAACATCCTGACTTTATTGAAGGTCTGAGCACTGTTTCCCGCTGCTGCTAAACTGGGCTCTAGTCACAAATAGGATAATTAAATCCGTCTTTATTGCCAGAGGTTGTCTTGATTTATTCCTGACTGTAGGGGCCAAACTCAAAAACAGTTTCAAGCTTATGTTTACAGTTCTCTACTAAAATACCATGTGCACTGTTTGTTTTTTGCTGTCGGAGCATCTGGCAGAGATGCTGTCCGGGCCTCACTGTCTGCATCTCTGGGGCTTTTAAGCCCTGGGCTCAGCACTTTCCAAGGCAGGTATTGCTCTAAAGGAGGGACCAGCAGGCCCAGTGCTGAATGCGGAGCACTGTCAGCTCCTGCTGCCAGGCTGGGACTGTCTCGCCGTGTGGGGCTGGTGTAGATCAGTCTCTTTGCTCACAGGCGGGTCACAGGGGTCAGAGGGTGGGGTCATGGGTCAGAAGGGCAGGGGGCAGGTCACAGGAGTCAAGAGGGCAGGGCTGGGGGTCAGAGGGCAGGTCACAGGGGTCACAGGTGGTGGTAGGGGTCAGAGGGCAGTGCTGGGGGCCAGAGGCATCGGAGGGTGGTACTGGGGGTCAGGGGGCAGGGTCAGAGGGTGGTGTTGGGGCTCAGAGGGTGGCGCTGGGGTCGGAGGGCAGGGCCAGCCTTGTCCCGCAGCGGCCAGGGTTGGCGGCGCGTGGCCCGAGCTCTGCCCCTCTCCCTGCCAGGGCTACCCCGGCACGGCAGGGCCAGCCCCCCGGGGCCCC